CGAGCATGTTGATAGTAAGAATCAACTTGCCTATATTTTCACTAAACCTCTCGCAATCAAACCATTTTTCAACATACGTGAGGAATCGGGGATCATCAATATCTCTAATGTCGCTTAATTCTACCTTGTTGCTTGCACTATATACTCTTACTCTAACTATTTCTTTGATTATTTTACATCATGTGAGTGCAAATTTCATCCTATCAAAGAGTGAGGTAATGCCTTTGAAATTTCTCCTTGAAAGTAAGATCCTTTGTTATTCATGTTACTTGTTGGTTAAAAATGCTTGATATATTCTCAAATGATGAAAACCATGAATGTTCATTTCCAAATTTTATTTATTTATAACCATTATGTGTTTTCAATATATATATATATATGTGTGTGTGTGTGTGTGTGTGTGTGTGTGTGTGTGTGTGTGTGTGTGTGTGTGTGTGTGTGTGTGTGTGTGTGTGTGTGTGTGTGTGTGTGTGTGTGTGTGTGTGTGTGTGTGCGTGCGTGCTTATAGTGACTTCATGTATTAATTCTTTCACATTTGTATAAGTTTGCTCTTATTGTGCAAGCATGTATTTTTTTAAGCTTATTTTTTTGCATTTGTGCTTGAGTTAATTGTATGTGTATTATTTACAATATGATTTTCTTGTTGATTATTGACTACATGGTATGATAAACATCTTAATTTTGGTTTTAGTAGCGACATGTTCTTATCGCTATGCTAGACACACGCGTGTGCGGCATCGGGAGTTTCATTTTATTGTGTTACGTGATTGTGACGCTATAAAAGCAACTTCAAATATTTGCTCCTTCACTGCTTGTTTATTCTTTATGCATTTACATTACATATGTTGTAATGTTGTTTGCTGGTTATTTATCAATTTCGCAATATTACATATATATATATATATATATATATATATATATATATATATATATATATATATATATATATATATATATATATATATATATATATATATATATATATATATATATATATATATATATATATATATATATATATATATATATATATATATATATATATATATATATATATATATATATATATATATATATATGCGGATATGTGATTGTTGCTCTTCTATGCAAAAATGCCTCTGAATGATATATTTTTATTTGTATTGGAACATAATACTTCTCATAGTTTGCTCTCTTTCTTTTTGATGTTGTCAAATAGGGAGAAACATATGCAAGATGAAGTTGGGAAGCACACAGTCAGGGGGAGCCTTGGATAACTACATGAAATGCATCATCGTAAGTTTTGTCATCATCAAAAAGGGGGAGTATGTGAGCACAACTTCATCATTAGATGTTTTGTATGATGTCAAAACTAGAAAAAGTTAGCATTTCTATATATTTGACGGTATCTCTATATCTTGTGGCTCTCCTTTGTATTAGGGGTCTTAGGAACCATTGAAAACCACTTTGAAATTGATCTAAGTCTTGAAAAACAAGTTTTTGTATAAATTTTCATTGCATGTGTCGACACATACGTATTTCAGGTCGACACATGCAAATCAATTTTGAAGCTTGTAGCTTCTGGAAGGCTCAGGTCGACACATGCATCATACAGGTCGAAACATACTGAAGTTTTTTGTGAAATTGAAGAAAAAATTAATTTATGTGTAGACACATACGAGTTTTAGGTCGACACATTTGCAAACCTAACTCTGAAGTAGTCATGAAAATTTTCGCTAATATTCTCATGGGGAGCTTGCAAACCTCACTCTGTTGAAGATGAAAATTTTAATAAGTTTTAAACTCAAGAGAAGCTTATAAACCTAACTATAACGTTTTAAACTGTTGTGCGTTTATCAAAGAAAAAATATTCATCAAAATATATGATATTGTCGTCATAAAAAAGGAGAAGATTAAAATTTTACCGGAAATGAGATTTTTTTTCCAGAAATTTTAGAAAATTTCATTATTTCTTTGAAAAATTAAGTAAACACAATAAAAAATCTTTAAAAAAATTAATAAGGACATAAGATAATAATAGCCACTATGTACGGATGACATATATAATTAGAGAAGTTAACATGCCACCTCCCATTTTTCTAAATGTCCCTGAACAAATTAGAATGACAAAGAATGAAATTTTCGGTACGTTTTTAAAAAAAAATTCTTCAGTATTTGAAATTTCAAGTATGATACTGGAAATTTCAAATACACTGAAATTTCCGGTACTAAATTTTTTTTCTAAAAAATATTGGATTTTTTTGAAAAATTCGGTATGCTTTCGAAAATTTCAGTATTTTTCTCAGAAATTTCCCAAAAATTCGGTATATTTTCGAAATTTCTGATTTTTTTTTTGAAGTTTCTGGTATATTTTCGAAATTTCCGTTTTTTTTTTAATTTTGAAATATTGAAATTTTCGGTATTGGATTGAAAATTTCAAAAAAAATTTCTGGAAATTAAAAAAAGTAGATTTTTTTTGAAATTTCTGTTACACCCCCAAAATCTCAGTAAAACTTGATTTTTTTGAAATTTAATGATTATTCACAAGGGGGTGGCATGAATAATCCGTGGGAGTGACATGTTAATTTCACGAATAATTAAAGGGGTGACAAGTTAAATACTAGTGAAAAATAAAAAATTTACTTCGTACCCCTACAATTACACTTGTATCCCTATAATTTTTCATAAATGTCAGTTTTACTCTTCAATATTTTTAACCAATTTATCATTTTACTTTTTATTATTCACCAAAAAATCTAAAATTTGCACCTACACATGTATTCCAGAACACTTAAATAAAATCTTCCGGTATTTATTGTAACAAACCGGAACACTTTTTAAAAGTGTTCCGGTTAAAAAGAATTGTTAAAGAAGTTTTAGCAACGGTTAAAAATTATGGTCTACAATAATGAAATCTTTTTTTTAATTATTACACTGGTACACTTTTTGAAAATTATGTATTATTAAGATATCATAACACTTTATAAAAGTGATTCGGTTTAAAAAAATTGCTAAAGAAATTTTAACAATCGTTCAAAACTGTAACCTAAAATAACGAAACTATTTTTTTTTTAAATTATTATACGGGAACACTTTCAAAAAGTGTTTTGAAATGTATGTATTATTAAGATATTAAAACACTTTTAAAAAGTATTCCGATTTTAAATAAATTGCTAAAGATTTTAGCAATGGTTGAAAACCGTAGCCGAAAGTAAAGAAACTTTTATTTAAATTATCATACTGGATTATTGAAATGATTGTATTATTAAGATATCAGAACACTATTCTAAAGTGTTCCGATTTTAAAAAATTGCTAAACGTTTTAATAACGGTTGAAAACCATAGCCTAATGTAATGGAACTGATTTTTAAAAACTTACTATACCAAAACACTTTTTGAAAGTGTTCAGGAACGCATGTGTAAGGTTGTAAAATTTAAAATTTTTAGTGAATAATAAATTGGTTAAAAATATAAAAAGATAAAATTGATATTTTTGAAAAATTATAAAAATATAAATTTAATTGTAGGGATACGATGTAAATCTTTTGTGAAAAATATGTTAATTGTATGGGAGCCCATGAATGCTAACCCAATACTCTTAAAAGAGCCCATAAATTTCTGACCCATATTTGATGTGCTAGCTGAGTAGTAAGTACTTAATCTTTTTACCTTATGATACATAGTTCGAAATGCTTCTAGAACAATTATAAAATGACCATCAATATTACTTAAATTAATATAAAAAATTGCCCTCAATTTTTTAAATAAAAAGTTATATGTTTATATCCAGAAGAAAGAAACTTTCCACATATGTTTTTTACAAAAAATATTTACTACTTTAATATTGGTTTTTCGCAGTCAAATAGTATATTACAACCACTTTATTATGTATAATTCTTACAATTTGTTAAACTAAAAATATAGTAATAAAAAAGTTGAATACATTGAATATTAATATCCTTAATCAATCAAACAATCACATTCAATATTATGTCATTTTTAATATTTATTTTATTTAAAATTAAATTAATAATTTAAATCAATTTCTACTAAAAGTATTGGTATCCAACAACTTATTATAGATATTGAAGAATTTACCAATAAAAAATGATCCTAGACATGAAATGAAACTTATACACCCGAAAAGAACACTTTCAAAATCATTTTTTTACCAGTCTTAATTGACTAATGCATTATTTTTCCATCATCTTAAAATATTATTTAACTTCTTTTTTTTTTCCATGTAATTTAACGGTAAAGTTCTTTTCTTTTTTTTTTAAATAAAAGAAAACCTAACGTTGTATCTAATATCTCTATATAATTATCAACTGAATTAATTTAATTTTAAATTATTTATTTATAATTTCATTAAACTATATTTTAATAACATACACAAAAAGAACATTTTTAAGACAATTATTTTAATATGTCAATTAAAAAATTTATTGTTGTCACACCATCTATAAATATCATGTGGTTTAACATTTCCACGTGCTTTACTCCGATTTACTGTTAAATATTCTTGTAACTTAAAAACCAAGCAAAACAAATTATAAATTGTATCTAACATATATTCTTTTAACCATTTTTCTTAATCCTAATTACAAACATTTGATCGTTTCATTTTTTCTATTTAAAATATTACTGTTAGTAGTATATAAACTGTTAGTAGTATATAAACTGTTAGTAGTATATAAAACTATATTACTAATGAGTCCAAAATAACATTGAATAATTTTCATAATTAAATGCAAAACTGTTAGTATCTAAACAATTAATGTTATATATTTTTGGTATAATTTATTGTTATATTTTTTACTCAATAGTTATACTTTTATACTAAAATTAACGTTATATTAGGTTATTATTATAAATAAAAAACATCACAATTACAAAAAATAAAATAAAAAATAAACACTCACATTAATTTACACAATATATTGTATAAATCTTATTTGGATATTCATCGTAAACATTGATTGTGAACCAAGTATCCATCATTAAAATTCTCAAAAATCACTATGTCTGAGCATGATTCAAAAGAAGGTCCATCATTAGATTCAAATTCAAATATTGATCCTTTGGAGAGGCAACCAATTATCATAAATCATGATGGTAGTATTACAAGGCTCATGCAAATATCAAATATTGAACCTAATCAAGACCTAAACAATGTTGTTTTATCTAAAGATGTCTCTCTTAACCCTATTAACAAAACCTCGATACGTTTCTTTCTACCTCAAAAAGCACTTAACAATTCTAAAAAACTCCCTATAATTGTCTACTATCATGGAGGGGGTTTTGTATTTTTTAGGGCTTCTTCAACAGTCAACCATGACTTTTGCTTCAAATTAGCTGAAAAAGTTAATATTATGGTTGCCTCTGTGGATTATCGTCTAGCCCCGGAATCACGTCTCCCCGCTGCCTATGATGACGCGGTTGAGGCATTACATTGGTTGGTAAATGAGGAATGGGTGTGCCAATTTTGTGACATGTCGAATTGTTACCTTATGGGATCTAGTGCAGGAGGGAACATTGCGTACCATACAGGTTTACGATGTGCCATGACGGTTGATGGGTATGGCTTTGACCAGTTGAGGATCAGAGGATTGATATTGCACCAACCTTTTTTTGGTGGATCCCAAAGGACAAATTCAGAGTTAAAATTTAAAAATGATCGAGTTTTGCCTCTGAAGGCGAATGATCTAATGTGGAAATTTGCATTGCCTAAGGGAGTAGGCAGAGACCATAAATTTAGTAATCCAATGGTCATGGATGAAGGAGATAATAAATGTTTTGATGAAATCAAACGAATGAGATGGAAGATTCTTTTCACAGGTTGTGATGGAGACCCTTTGATTGATCGTCAACTCGAGTTTGTGGAGATGTTGAGAAGAAAAGGAGTTAATGTTGTGGAATACTTAAGAGAAGGTTTTCATGGGATGGAAATGTTGGAACCGAACACAGATGGACCACTTTTTGAACAAATAAAAGATTTAATAAATTTATGTTAAAAAAACCTTCAAAGTTAAATATGTGTTGCCAGTTTGTTTTTGTTAATTCTTATTTATGATGGATTTTTTTTTAATGTATACATTTTTTTTTGTTGAAATATTTTAATGATAGAATTGCATGTTTGGTTTTTATTTCATACTAGAATGTGACCCCACGTCTATGCGGTTTTTGGATTTCTGATGATATATATCGAAATAAGCACAATTAATATCAGGGTTGATGGAAATCAATATTGAGTCACCCGTAGGCACTTTGAAGTGTTGAAATAAACCCATCAGCAATTTTGAACATTACGAGTGATCAATTTATTAAATGAATGATGCGCCAAATCTCTTCAAATATGAGTCAGGAAATGTCCACCTCTTCATCCTACATAATGAAACATACCAATTTTTCTACATCCATTGTGATATTGGAGACATGGCTTCTTATGATGACACTGTTAATGATTAATGTCACCCACATTTGTGCTTTTAGTTTTAAATCTTACCTTAGGAAGTTGATTGGTACGTTATTGACATTTATTTAATATGATATGCCTTGCTTCCAGATATCACGAGGAATCTCATTAATGTCTGAGTTAGTTGTCACCAATTTAACTTGCAAATTCATCCAACTCGTCACATGCTTTCTCAAAAGGTTTGTCTAAATAGGCGTTGATTATCTTGTTGTTATATTTTACGTTAACATCTCTGACTCTAGAGTATCTCCCATTTGGATTTTATTTTGTTGGAATAACATTGACATAAAGCTCACATATCATGTCAATATTAACTAGGGATCAGGTTTTGTTCCTAGATTATGATATCAATCAGCGCATACATAATATATATACTTTTCGTTTGCATTTTAAGTCAACCTTCTTTCAAAAATGTTTTTCTAGGCCTTAATTAACCATAATTTTTCATGAAATTGACTATGTAACCTCATTCCCAAACCTCTAGAACTTGATCCTACTTTAGTGTGGGACCGCTTCTTCAAAGGATATTCATTTTGTGCTCTAGGTGCCATATGAAATGAAAATGAATGACTTATGCAAAAATTAAGATTTGAAAAAAAATTACACATCACCTTATTTTGTTTCATTTCAAATTATGTTTCAGAAATATCCAAATTCAATGTAGCATAAGAAGTTCATATAATTCAAGTTTATGTTGTGAATGCATTTTTATCTTGGATAGATGTTTTGTATGATGTCAAAACTAAGATAGATTTATCTTTTATGTATATTGAATGATATCTCTGATTCATTGTTGCACCATTGCATTAGGCATTTTAGAATGTATCTAGAACATGTTTGAAAAGATTTTCAATATGTATCATGCACTAAAAATTATTTTTTGCATAAAAATTAGTTGTATGTGTCGACACATCCGTTCTATGCATCGACACATGTGGATAAATAATAAAGCATGTAGGCTCTGTAACTATGTGTCGTCACATTCTTCATTTATGGTTGACACATTCATGTAGCTTTTGTAACTTCGTGTCGACACAATGATCTCAAATAGGCCGATACATGACATTACATATGTCGACACATAACTTACATGTGTCAACGCATGTGTCAGTATTTTTCAAAAATTGTTTTCACTTTCAAACTTATAGGTTTCCCTTTTGCCTCCAACTTGCACACCTATATATACTTCATACATGCATCATTTTCAACTTGATAAAACTATAAACACATACTAAGATTATTCATCATCTTCAACATTACATATATACATACACACAAACAAAATACACATAATCATTCATTGTTTGAGTTTCATCTAGACTTGGTTAACACTCAATTTAGGTTGGTTATAACCTAAGGCTGGGTTGAGAATCATAGGGGGTTTCATCAGAAAAATGACGAGAGTTTTTACCTCAAGATCAAAGTGTGGATTTGGTGGTTTTTACAAGGTTTTGCAAACATTAGATTCGACCAGGTGAAACACTTTGAAGAACGGGGGTTCTTGCAAAGGAGTAGTGTGAGACGGTGAATCGTTTGGAAATCTTGGGTGACATCAATTTTCAATTTAGATTCAACCAAGTGAAGAGCTTTGAAGAACAGTGGTTTCTTGCAAAGGAGTAGCGCAAGACGGGGGATCAAATTGGTATTGTTAAGTCACTTGATCAATCTAGATCTAGGGAAGAGAATTTGCTAGGATCAACATCAAACATAAGGTTTGTAGCGTTGGATTGCTACATTTATCTCGTAAATAATTTTTTGCATAGTAAGAATTCTTATCTCAATTCCAAACATAATCACGGGCATACATAGTCAAATCGAGGATGATTGGTGAACTTCCTAAACAAATTCTTCTCTCTTTCCATCTCTCTCTCATTCATTTTATTAGCAATTTGTTAAATTTTTTGATTGCCCAATTGATTCGTATAGACAAATCTTTGATTTTTAAATTGCTTTGTCGATTACCTTACAATTGATTAGATTGGAAGAGGTTTTTTATACCAACAAAGTTCAAAGGAAAATATAAAAAATTAAGCACGCACCAAGTGTTCGATAAATTGTTTCACTTAGCTTTGTCAATTGTTTCATTGAATATTGGCTGGCCTTGTAATTGTAAAACAATTACTTGAGAATTTATTGTATTAAGATCCTATCATCATTATTTAATTGACTTTGATATTATGCATATTCAAACCTCCAATAACCGCTTCAATTTTGACGACTTGTGATCTAAGATACGACTTCTGCTTTCCATAGTTTTGTTTAATTTTTGAAAACACAAATTTAAGCAAAAATTTCCTTTTGGGATCTATTCACTCCCTCTAGATAAGTTTTGTTGTATAACAAGGGGAATCAAGAGCCCGGTTGATTTCATGTGCTTCAAAAACACTTATTAGATAATGCCTACCGAACCTAAAATGGCGTACAATAGAGCACCCATATTCACCGGTGAAAACTATAGTTATTAGAAAGCTTGTATATGTATTCATATAAATTCATATGATAAGGGTGTGTGGGATGTTATTGTCAACGGCCCCACGTAAATTATTGTAGCCGTAGATGGTGTCACCACACCCAAACCGAAATCACAATTAAGTGATGATGATAAGAAAAAGTGGGGTTACGATTAGAAAACGCAAAATGTTCTCATATCCTCTATTGGTGTTGATGAATTTTATCGTGTCTCCCATTGTGAAACCGCTAAAGCTATGTGGGACGCATTGCAAGTTGTCCATGAGGGAACCAATAAAGTCAAACAGCCTAGAATTAAAATATTAAATCAAGAGTTTGAACTATTTCGTATTAAGTATGGTGAAATCATTGCCGAAATGCAAAAGAGATTCACTCATCTCATTAATCGTTTGAATGCACATGGAAAACTAGTTTCCAATGAAACTGCTACTAATAAAGTTTTGAGGTGTCTTAATAAGGAATGACAACCAAAGGTCCCTGCGATCAAGGAAGCCAACAATCTTACCACACTTGACTTCACTACATTTTTTAGTAAGTTAGAAGAACATGAGCAAGAACTCACTTACTTAGAGAAACATGAGAAAAAACATGAGAAGAAGCTAAAGAAAGAAAAATGTAAGGATAAGGAGGTAGAAAATAAGTCTATTTCTCTACAGGATTCTAGCTCATGATCCTCAACAAATGAGTAAAGTGAGAGTGATGATAGTGACAATGACAATTTGGATGATGAGAAAATGTGGTTGTTTGCAAGAAGGTACAATAGATACATTAGAAATAATAGAGTAAATCACTCCAACAAAAATCTCATCAAGCTTAGAATACAAATCTCATCCTCAAAGGAAGATGACAATAACAAAGGTAAGTCAAGAGGTACATGTTACAATTATAGAAAATCGGGTCATTATATGTCAGAATGTCCATCTCTTGACAAAGACAAGGAAAATGGCAAACACATAAATTCTAGGAAATCTAGAAGAGCTTATGTAGCTTGGGAGAGAGATAGTGATTCCTTAAGTTATAAGAGCTCAAGTGATAATGAAGTAAAGGAAAATTTATGTCTCTTCACCCATCTTCGTCAAAAGAAGAAAAAGAATGTAAGTCATCCTAAATATGAAAATATTGATAAGTTGTCTTATTCCGAATTACAACTTGCTTTTGACAATCTACAAAGAGAAACTTTAAATGCTTTTAAAAAGTTAGCTTCACGTCAAAATATTTTTTTCAATATTGGAAGCTAAGGTTTTAAATACTGAAAACAAATGGAAGCTCTAAAGCATTCTACAGTAGATAGTTTACAAGTCAAGAAGCAGGATGATAAACCGTTTTGGTTCGATTGTGAAATTTGTCACTATTGAAAAAAAGAGGCTAACACTCTTAAGGATAAATTGGATAAGCATCACAATCAAAATTTATATTTGCTATTGATCCTTCTATGATTAAAAGGAGTATGAACAAATCCCATAAAAATGATAGTTGGAATAAAAAGGATTCCAATAACAAACATAAATCATCTTGTAATTTGACTTGTCTTTATTGTTGCAAGAAAGGTCAAATTATTGAAAAAAGAAAATTTATGAGTTTTTTAGTTCCTAAAAGATGTATTTCAATGGTTACCCAAATGCAACCATGTTTTCACTCACTCCCAAGGATCCAATGAAAGTTAGGTACCTATCACCTTTGTTTGATCTTGTAGGTTGAGTGCCATGGCTCTATGAAGAGAAGATGGATACTCAATAGTGGATGCTCAAGGCATATGATGGGAGATATTTCTTTATTCTTCGACTTTGTGACAAAGAAGAAAGGCTTTGTATCCTATGGAGACAACACAAAAGGTGCAATACTTGAAAAAGGTAGTGTAGGTAATCTCTCATCTACTACTATCTTCGATGTTATATTAGTTGAAGGCCTTAAACATAATCTTCTAAGCATTAGTCAATTGTGTGACAATGTGTATAAAGTATTTTTTACTAAAAATCATTGCATGATTGTACACAACGAAAAGAAGCATTACATGTTTAATGGTGTGAGGGTAAACAATATATATATATATATATATATATATATATATAT